CACACACTTAACTGCTGCGCCACCAGGCTGGCTCCTAGGCTCTCTATTCTGTTCCATTGATCCATTGATCTATTCTTTCACCAATACTATACTGTCCTGATTACTGTAGCTTTATATATATATATATATAGTAAGTCTTGAAGTTGAGTAGCATTAGTCCTCCAACTTTGTTCTTCTCCTTCAATATTGTGTTGGCTATTCTGGGTCTTTTGCCTCTTAATATAAAATTTAGAATCAGTTGGTTGATATCCATAAAACAACTTGCTGGGATTTTTTATTGGGATGCATTGAATCTATATTCAATAGGTCAAGTTGGGAAGAAGTGACATCTTGACAATATTGAATCTTCCTATCCATGAACATGGACTATCTCTCCATTTGTTTAGTTCTTTTTTGATTTTTCTCATCAGAATTTTGTAGTTTTCCTCATATAGATCTTGTACATATTTTGTTAGATTTATACCTAAGTATTTCATTTTTGGAGGTGCTAATGTAAATGGTAGTGTTTTTAATTTCAAATTCCACATATTCATTATTGGAATATAGGAAAGCAATTGAATTTTGTATATTAACCTTGTATCCTGCAACCTTGGTATAATCAATTATTAGTTATAGGAAGGTTTTTTTTTGGTCAATTCTTTAGAATTTTCTTCGTAGACGGTCATGTCATCTAGGAACAAAAACAGTTTTATGTCTTCCTTCCCAATCTGTATACCTTTTATTTCTTTTTCTTACCTTTTCTTGCATTAGCAAGAACTTCAATTCTATAAATTCAATGCTATAAATTTCCCTCTCAGTGCTGCTTTGCTGCATCCCCTAAATTTTTTGTCGTGTTTTAATTTTCATTTAATTCAAAATATATTTAAATTTCTCTTGAGATTTCTTCTTTGATCATTTGTTATTTAGATGTGTGTATTTTAATCTTCATGTAAAATAACTTCTTTTTGACACACCTGAAAATTTACAATAATTCCTTAATAATACTAATAAATGGTCTATAATCAAATTTACCTAATTACTTCAAAAAATTAGTTTTAATTGGTTTCTTCAAAACAAGATCCAAATAAGGTCCACATGTTACATTTGGATGATGTGTCTCTCTAAATCTGTTTTAATCTATAACAGTATCCCTTTTTGTTCATGCTATTTATTTGTGGAAAGAAATTAGTTGTTTGTCCTATAGAATTCCCCATTTTCTGGATATGGCTAGTGGTTTCTTTAAGGTATTTTAGTGTCAGTGAGTCTTTATCTCCCATACTCATGAATCTGGAGGCTTGATGCAGGTTCCATTTGTAGTGAAACTAACATAGCTCATATTTCCTATTGCATCATGCAAGCAGATATATAATGTTGGATTGTCCTACTTCCTGTGACCTTAAGACTGGTTGGTGGGTCTAGGTATAGTCAGCCTGATCCCTCCATTATAAAAGTCCCCTGTGTGTCTAATTTTTGATATGTAAAATTTTAATAAATTAAACATGCCCTCTCTACTTCAAGGAGTCTTATGTGGATGAAATGGTATAATGGAATTGAAAGTATTTTTTTCTGAAGAGCCATAGTAGTCAGGCCAATGCTGGATTTTCTGCTATAGAGTCAGATTTGAAGAGCCCACCTTTTCTCCAAGACCGACAGTTTTCTTTATGTTGACTTTCTATCACATTTTTTTGAGTTTGGTTTTTAGCTGCAATGTTGTGGTGTAAATAACAGAAGTGATTGGACCCATGGCGTACCATCATCTTGCCCTCAAGATCAACTAGTTAAGGTAACTTTTGGGGCAACTTTTCTGTCATTGTCCTCTTTAGTTAAACTTAATTACCTTACAAACTCCAGTCATTCAGGACTTAGTCTTCCCAACCACAAACAGAGAATCTTGAACAAAATAGAGACCAGGGAGACAACCCAGGTAACTAGACACATCAGAAAAAAAAGGAAACAAGCTCATTTAGACTAGAGACACCATTAGGAATCTTGCTACCCTAAACTATTACATTAGAGGGGAGAAGTTTGTGTGATAGTGGCAGAGGATTATGTCAAGATTTTTCTTCAGCAAGACATAAGTCTTCTTATGGTTGAAAGTGAAATTTGTAATGTTGAGGTAGAAAAGCTTCTCTCTCTATCTGTTTTTCTGCTCTCTCCCCTTGGAGATGGCAGCATCCAGCCCCTTAATAAAATGAATCATATATGAAGGAGTGAGGAGCTGGGGGAGAGAGAGTTGGTGGAACTGCTGAAACAACCTTCCTACTTAATTTGGACCTCCAGACTAGGCCCAGAGAAGAAGCCAAAATCATCTTATGGACCAAATCCCTAAGATCCTGTTACCCAGGTTATCCATTCTTGGGATTGTTTGGAAATATCCCCAATTTTTTAGGTCTGTGATGAAATTCTGGGACACCCATCAACCAGTAACTGTCCTGGAGCTTGGTAGGGCCATAAAAAGTTTACTAGTTGTTGAAGCAAAACTGAAATGCAACCAATGCTAGGATTTATAGCCTATATTCCCATTTGCTAATCCCAAGTCAGTAGTGAATGTTCAAAGAACATAAAGACATCTGTTACTTACATGTCTCCTGGGAGCTAGTTTAACTCAGTGTGTAAGGATCGAGGACTTCTACATTAGATGCCACTGTAATGATAACAACACCAGAAAAGTCTCTAGTTTAATATTCTCTACTTGATGTCTGTTTATTCATCCATATAAAGAAAATAAAAATATAATACATGGTCTAAGTCTCTTGGCGTAAGGCAAAACACAAACTATCTTCCCAAATAAGCTTCCTGATAAGGTTGAATAATATAGTAGTATCATTTGTACTTGTAATTTGTTCTAGGGTTGCTATGTAAAAGCAGAACAGTGGTTTTACTCCAATTTCCTGTATATCGGAATCATCACTATCTGTGTGTGTGTGGTCCAGGTAAGAGCTTAATCACAGGACAATTGTGAAGAATAAATGAGTTAAGTCATGTAAGGTTTTAGAGCAGTACCAGGCACATAGTGTGTGCTCAATGAATATGAGTTCCCCCACTCAAGTATCAAATGATGTTATTACCAATTCAAGTCTTATAGAAAATATTCTGTAAGATCTATCTGGTCACCTTATCCCTAAAAGAGATGAGTGCTTCATAGTCAAATTGAAAGCCACCAAGCAGATCCCTAGTTTGGTCCTTCATTCACTGGTCTGGAAAAGCTTGTGTTGGATGAAACATTCAACTTGAAAAATTGGCCTTGTATGTTAAGCAGGAGTTGATGGTGTCAATTATGATAAATTTTTGCCTTGTTTCTCTGCTTTAGTTTAAAAAGTCAAGAGTGAATTGGGGATAGTTTTGTGCTTTTTTATTATGCAATATTTCTACCATTTTTACACCCAAATGTTTTGGGTATATCACAGATTAGCTAAGACTTAATCAAGAAGCTAAGAGAGAAATGATTTTTCTCTGCTTAGAAACCAAGGAGGCCTAGGCCATGGGTAGAGATGACTCATTGCATGAAGTTTTGACTTGTGCAGACCTTGACTATACCAGCAGCAGAGCTTCTATGACTTCATAAGGAGACAAAAAATGTCCCAACACTTTATACTCTCCTTTCTTGCCAATACCACCCAACTTATCTCCCTGCTGCCATTCTAAAGCTAAAGGAGAGAACTCCTGTGAAGGAATTGGAAGTGATGGCAGGAAAGGTGGCTTCAGTGTGACGGATGCTTTCTTTTTCTCTGAGGCTGATCCCAGGGGTTGTGGGAAAAGAAAGCTCCTCCTATAACGGACCTCACATTTGCCCAACTCTTTTCTCAGGTGTTGGGGATGTCCTTTGCACTGACCCTGAACTGCCAGATTGATAAAACCAGCCAGGTCCTAGGGCTGTGACCTGCTGCTACCTTATGCTGGAGAGACTTGTTTCATCTGTGGAAATCCCAAACCACTTATAGCATGAAGCCTAAATGATCACCTCTTGGACTGGCATCTTTGTTCCCCTCCCATCTCTTCCATATTTTGGCTCCTGTCTCACATGACCATAGAAGAGGATGTTGGCAGGCATGTCCCATCTCAGGCAGCAAGACAAGCATTCACCCACTCATGGCAGCAGCTGTGTCCCTCAAAGTGATGACACTGATACCTGAGAATTCTTCAAACATGAGACGCCAAAAGAATCTGTAGCACTAATGGCTTTGACTAATGGTCAAAGGATGGGTCCGGGACTCGAATTTTTGCATATTCCCATTGTCAAACAAGTCTCTAGCCTCTAAATCATGCCCAGTCCACTCTCCAAAGTCAAGCAAGAAACAAGCTGAAGGGAGCTTTGGGACCAGACTCACTGGATCACTGTCACAACCCTCTGTTTCCTTTTGACTGGAGGCCTTGGCTACAGGAATGAGAGTACTCTTTCTTCAAAGGTGAAGTTTCATTTCAATTTCCTTATTAAAGGACTTTATTGATTCATTCTAAGTCTTTTCAGAAGAAACAATCTAGAGATTCATATCCTGACTTCAGCCAATCTTTCAGCCTTTGAATTACATAACTATGGAGAAACTCAGCAGAACCAGTATCTCTGGTGGTGATAGTTACATTCATGAGAGTTCTGGTGTTATTTCTCTATCAGATAAAGTTTTGTTAATGTACTCTTTTAACTCTTCAATAAATAAAAAAGCTTATAATCTCAATCACTACATTCTCATTCCTATATCAAACTCACTTTGCATGACTCAGTCTGATTGCCCTGCCAGCAAGCCAGGTATATTAGTTATCTATTGCTGCATACCAATTTACTCCAAAACTTAAGTGTCTGAGAACAACATTTATTATCTCACAGTTTTTGTGGGTCTTGAATCTGGGAGCAGCTTAGCTGGGTTCTGGCTAATGGTCTCTCATGTGACTACAAGCAAGATGTCAGCCAGAGCTGCAGTCATCTCAAGGCTTGACTGGAAGAGGATCCACTTTCAAGCTCTCTCACATGGCTCTTGGTAGGCCTCAGTTCTTTGCCACGAGCACCTTTCCACAGGGCTGGCTTATGCCATGGCAGCTGGTTTCTCCCATAGCGAGACATCCAATAGAAAACATAAAATAAAGCACTCCAAACAAGCTACAGTTTTTTTATAAGCTAACTCAAAAGTGCTATCACGTCAGTTCTGCCAAATTCTATTCCTCAGTAGTGAGTCAAAAAGTTCAGCCCACACTGAAGGGGAGAAGATTACACAAGGACGTGTATACTAAGAGGTGGAGATCATTGGGGGCTATCTTACAAGTGGCCAACCACACCATGTTTATTGAGTCAGGAGAAGCTAAATTGAATTATCTGTAAGCTAAATTAAATCGTCTATATGATAACCATGTTTTGTAAAGCAAAAAATCAGAACATATCTAATACAGAACAACATGTATAGTCATCAGAGAAAGGGATGGAAGAATTAGTTTCTGTTCTTGAAGTTTTGTGCAGGATCTCCCACTTCCCTTAAAGGAAAATTGGTCATTTTAGCAGGAGTCTATAGCAAAACCTACATCTTTTGCATTTCCCTAACACAAAGAAAGAGCAGAGGAGACATTCTCTTGAGTATCATAAGCATCTAAAATATCACACATTCAACATGTGCAAAATAAAACTTATCATTATATCTTCCAGGCCTGCTCCTCTTCTTTATTCCTCATATCAGTGAGTGATACCACCAACAGAGTTGCCCTGGTCAGAAACCTGGGCTTTGTCCTTAACTCTAACCTGCCTTCACTTCCAACATCCAGTCAGTCATGAAATTCTAAGGCTTCATCTACCAAATACTATCAAATTCATTCATTCTCCCCATTTCATTTCTTGCCTGTATTCCTTCAATAGTCCACTCTCTGTTCTCCTAGTATCCACTATTGGCCCCGTCTAACGTATTATCCATACAGCAGCCAAAATATTTCTAAAACATAAATATAATCAGGATAATTTTCTGCTTGAAACCCTTCAATAACTACATTTGTCTTAGGATAAAGTTCAGATTCCTTATTACGTCTACCAGGTCCTACCTGATATGTCCCACTCTCAGCTCTCCAGCATCACCTTTTTCCATTCTCACTCTTTTATTCTATGATTTACTTATATTAAAGTTTATTTAGTTGCTCCAGGCTTTATCAATGCTAATAAATTTTTCCCACTCGTCCAGTGATCCCTTTTGTTTGGATAATTTCTACCCTCTCCTGTCTCTAAGGAAGTTTCCCTGATACTACAAAGTTTAATGTCTATTGAGGTCTTTCCAATTATGAGACGGTGTGCTAAGAGTTTTACATACATCTTCCCATTTAAATCTTGACACAATATCTCTTGTGTGTAGCTCCATAACACACTCCCCAAACTCTAAAACTAAAAATTAAGTTTAAAGTAATCTTAAACATGAAGTTATCCCAGGCTCTGGCAGAAGCAAAATGCACACACTTTCTGAAGGAACCCACATTAATACCATGTCTCCATGAATCTCAAAAAGCAAATTTTCAATGAAATTAAACTACTCACAGTAAAAATTCACTAAACACATGAGAAAACAAGGCACTATGAACCAAGAGAAACAACAAACAATAGGAATGGACCCACAAAACTTCAGATATTGGACCTATTTGACACAAAATATAAATAGCCATATTTTTCTATATCTAAGAAAATAAGGAACAGCTTTAAAAGATGTGCAGAGGCGAAAACTAAAAAAAGACTAAGCATTTTGAAAAATGAAAATATAATAATTGAAATTTTAAAAACTTAAATAAATATGTTTAACAGCAAATTTGATACAACTAAAGTGAGATTAATAAACAGGAAGATTTATATGAGAAAATTAATCAGAAGGTAGCTATAGTGTGTTGAACTGTGTCCCCTAAAAAGATATGTCCAAATCCTAACCCCTAGTACCATTGAATATGACCTTATTTAGAAATAGGGTCTTTGTTGATGTGATTAAGTTAACGGTCTTGAGATGAGATCATTCTAGATTTAGGGTTGGCCCTAAATCCAGTGCCTGTTGTCCTTATAAAAGGAAGGGCAGGGATATTTGAAACACAGATACAGAGGAAAAGACCCATAGAGGAAAGTCATACAAAGACAGAGGCAGAGAAGGGACTGATGTGTCTACAAGTCAAGGAATACCAAGAATTGCTGACAACCACCAGAAGGTAAGAGAGTAACATGGAACAGATTCTTTTTCAGAGCATCCAGAAGGAAACAACTTTGAAGACACCTTGATTTTGGACTTCTAACCTTCAGAACTGTGAAAGAATAAATTTTTATTGTTTGAAACCTCTGAATTTCTTGGTGTAATTTGTTAAAGCAGCTCTGAAAACTAATGAAACAGTAGCACGTAGAAAGAGTGGAAAATATGAAAGTGAGGTTTAGAAACAATGAGGACAGAGTTAGAAAGTTTAACATAAGTGTAACTGGAGTTTCAGAAAGAGGAGATACAAAGCATAGTAGACACAACATTTGAAGTTATAATGGCTGAGAATATTCCCAAGTTGATGAATGGTTCAATCCACAAATAAGAAGCCCAATGAATTACTTTCATGAGGGAAAAAAGAAAATCACACTTAGACATATTATGGTCAACCTGGGTAAAAACAAAGGAAACAATTTAAAAACAGCCCTAGAAGTTGTGGTTCTAGTAATGGGCAAACAGAAGTGGAATATTAGAGCACCAAAGTTGCCTATGCCCAGAAGGTATGAACTATTATCACAAATACTTGTGTTTTGATTCCTTGACAGAATCCACCATTATGGGAGTGGGGGGAATCAGATGGGAGGTCTTCGTATTGAGCCCCACCCTCAGAGTCAGAACAAACCAGAGCTTGACCCATTATACTTCCTTCAAACTCTGTGAACTGCAGAATGGGCTTCTGTGGCTTTGAACTAGGTAGGAGTAGAAAAAAATAGGAAAAGCAAAAAGAAACCTCTTTATGTGGTTATGACGATAGACCAAGTTTCCCATGTCTCTGCACACCAGGTAAGCAAGGCCTAGGTGGACCAGTGACTCTCAATTTAAATTTGGTTTGAAGTCATTCCAACTAAACATGCCCCAGAGACCTGAGAGAAGCAAACTCAAAACTTCCCTGGAGGACAGAAAATCCATCTTATGCTTAGGAAATGCCCAAAAATAATTTTTTAAGGACAATGGTCAGCAAGCAATCAAAGCTTATGAGCCATAAAAGAAAACAACAATATAATATGAGCAAGAACCAACATAAACAACAGTCAGCAGAGACAGACCTGCACAGACTTCAGATATTGGACTTTTAAGACACATGTTCTATTTTATTTTTTTAATATTTTTTTAATTTTTTGTTTATTGTGGTAACATTGGTTTATAACATTGTATAAATTTCAGGTGTACATCATTATACTTTTATTTCTGCATGAATTACATCATGTTCTCATGTTCACCACCCAAATACTAATTACAATCCATCACCACACACATGTGCCTAATTATCCCTTTTACCCTCCTTCCTCCCCCCTTCTCCTCTGGTAACCACCAATCCAATCTCTGTCTCTATGTGTTTGTTGTTGTTATTATCTACTACTTAATGAGTGAGATCATATGGTATTTGACCTTCTCCCTCTGACTTATTTCACTTGGTATAATACCCTCAATGTCCATCCATGTTGTCACAAATGGTTGGATTTCATCGTTTCTTATGGCTGAGTAGTATTCCATTGTGTATATATACCACATCTTCTTTATCCATTCATCCCTTGATGGGCACTTAGGTTGCTTCCACATCTTGGCTATTGTGAATAATGCTGCAATGAACACAGGGGTGCATGTATCTTTATGCATTGGTGTTTTCATGTTCTTTGGATAAATACTCAGCAGTGGAATAGCTGGATTGTATGGTAGTTCTATCCTTAAATTTTTGAGGAATCTCCACACTGTTTTCCATAGTGTCTGCACCAGTTTGCACTCCCACCAGCAGTGTATGAGAGTTCCCTTCTCTCCACATCCTCTCCAACACTTGTTGTTTCCTGTCTTGTTAATTATAGCCATTCTGACGGGTGTGAGGTGATAGCTCATTGTAGTTTTGATTTGCATTTCCCTGATAGTTAACGATGTTGAACATCTTTTCACGTGCCCATTGGCCATCTGTATATCTTCTTTGGAGAAATGTCTGTTCAGGTCTTTTGCCGATTTTTTAATTGTGTTGTTAGATTTTTTGTTGTTGAGATGCATGTGTTCTTTATATATTTTGGAGATTAACCCCTTATCAGATGTATGGTTTGCAAATATCTTCTGCCAATTGTTAGGTTGTCTTTTCGTTTTGTTGATGGTTTCCTTTGCTGTGCAGAAGATTTTTAGTTTGATGTAGTCCCATTTGTTTATTTTTTCTATTGTTCCTCTTGCCCAGTCAGACATGGTGCTTGAAAATACATTGTTAAGACCTATGTCAAAAAGCTTACTACCTATGTTTTCTTCTAGAAGTTTCATAGTTTCAGGTCGAAAATTCAAGTCTTTAATCCATTTTGAGTTAATTTTTGTGTATGGTGTAATGTAATGTTCTACTTTCATTTTTTGGCATGTGGCTGTCCAGTTTTCCCAATACCACTTGTTGAAGAGACTTTCCTTTCTCCATTGTATGTTCTTGGCTCCTTTGTCGAAGACTAGCTGTCCATAGATGTGTGGGTTTATTTCTGGGCTTTCGATTCTAT